TCGAGACTAAAACTCTGCTTGAGAGGCGGTAGGTCGTAAATTATCCGTTAAATTAGTAGGAAGTGAAATAAACAACCAATAATTAATAAATTCTTTATTTACTATGTACAAAGTCTATAATTTCTATTATAGTAGTTTGTGTGACAATAAAAAAATTGGAAAAAAAAAAAAGAAAAAAGAAAGGCATTAAAATACGAGTGGTTCAAGAATATCACACGAGTGTTTTAATGCCTAATTACGTACATTTACATACACACATCAAAACAAGTTTGCGATCAATAGCATAAGCTCCTATAATTCTTTAAATTTAACTTTATCAAGAAAAAATCTAAGTTGTATGCTTTCTTTAAATAGGAATACCCTGTTTAAAATTAAAATATAAAACTATTTTTTATTATTTATTTTAAAAAATTGAGCCATTAATCATAATGTAATAGTGATAGAAATTTCATAGAAAGAAAAAGACTGTTTAATTAAACTTAAACAACAATTTATTATAAAAAGGTGTGAATTCAATATAAAATAACTCCTCCCCTGGCTCGAATTCATGCGAAGATCCTCCTGGGCATGCTGAGGATCAAGTTATCCAGCATTTCCTGGGGTAACCTATCCCATTCTTCAATAGCGGCTTCCCTGAGCTCTGGAACTGTCTGGGGACGTGGCTCACGGTTCCATACTGCTCGTTTAAGAGCATCCCACGCGTGCTCTATTGGGTTTAAGTCGGGCGAGCCGGCAGGCCAGTCTAATCGTGTGATATCGTATTCTTGAAGAGCAGCATTGACTCGTTGAGCTCGATGTGCGGGCGCATTATCATCGACCAGTACAAATTGGTGCCCATGGTTTACTCGGATTGGTCTGACGATATCATCAATAGCAACTGCTTTGTACATGTCTGCTGTCATGAAGCCCCGATACGGGATCAAAGGCGTTCTAGCTCCAATCATAATGCCACCCCAAAAGGACACCGATTTTCCGCCTTGCTGAACTATTCCAGTGGCAGTTCTTTGTCTTTCACGGTCGCCTGGTCTTCTCCAGACACGGACACGTCGGTTATCTGGATGAGTGCTCTGTTCGGGATTCGTCAACGAAGAGACAGTTTTGCCAAATGTTTTCGTCCTCACCTTCTTCATTTTGCCGAAGTCTAGCCCACTGCAATCTTCGTTGTTGACGTTGCCGGGAATTGAGCGGAGCTCGCCAAGACCTCCGTGCTCGTAATCCAGCCTGGTGCAAGCAATTGCGAACGGTCTGCGTGTTAACTTCAAGCCCAGAGGCGGCCCTGACTTCTGCTTTTATTTTAGTGGCGTTGATTGTTGGATCACGGGCTGCCAGCAATCTAATATAGCGCTTTTGGGCAGCTGTCAAAACAGTTGGGCGACCGCTGCGGGGTCGGTCAGCTAAATTCCCCATTCCGTGATACCTCTGCAACGTAGCCACGACACAGGATTGGGATATAGCAAGTCTGCGTGCTATTACTCTCGTGGTGTATCCTTCTTCCCTCAAAGTTACTATTCTAGCTCGTAAAACCTCTGATAATCCTCTTGGCATTTTTTCAATCACAACTTTCCGCGAAAAATATCTTGAATCGCTTATAATTGATTAAATCAGATTTCTGAATGAGCGTAAGCTAGGACTGAAAGCCTTTTTATATGAAAAAACAATTGAACGGGGTCATTGTTTTAGGTTCTAATTTATTTTTAAATAAAGAATCTAAAAAGAAGAAAAAATCATAATATAATCTACAGTAACAAAAAAGATTTCAGTTTTTCGAAGTGATCGCAAACTTTTTTTGATGTGTGTACACTGCTTTATCTACACACATATTATAAGCTCTCTGTGATGTGTTCAGGAACCGCGTGTTACGACTGGCGAAATAGCGGCAAATAAAAACTTATCTCACGCATGTCACACAACCGTAGTTTTTATTTTTAATTCATTGACAAACTAGAATCGGCTCCAACTATCATATCGTTCGATATCAAGTAACGTGTGAAATTGTTTCAGAGATGTTCGAAATGTTTAATGTAATAATAAAATGGAATTCGATGTTATTATGAAGCAATAATAACATTTTCACAGATAAGAAATTTGTTCTAACAAAACCGTTTACCGTTACGCTGGTCGTAATCTGCGGTTTTTGAACACATTACAGAGAGTCTATGATATGTGGGTAGATAAAATATATTAACAATACAATTTTAATGGATTCTTGTTGTTACCCATTTTCGAGTGACCATGCCACTTTAGTTAACTTCAGTGGCCTTACAAACATTTTTCCTCTCATTAAGGGTGTCACCACACATCGACACGGCATCGCATCGTGTCGGTCAGACTAATAATAATAATTTATTATTCCATTCACCAAAATACAGCCATTGACTAAAATCAAATTCTCTGAGTTTTACTCAGAGCTAGTAGCTACAAATATATCGAGTGGGTACATCTAGAAGATGCTTTCTGTATTTATGTGCTTGATATGTTGATGCTGTACAATAGAATTTCTAAAATACAAAATATGGAAAAACACCTTTACGTTCTTGTAATACGAGCGAAAAAGCGAGCGTTTCGTGTAGGGGGTCATAGCGGACGCAAAACGACGAAATGTGATTCCGTTTGTTTTGTAATTAGATGTTTTGCTGTTTTTCCCACACCACCGAATGGAACAGCCCCCATTGTTAGAGATATTATGTTTATTACAATAAGAGATATTTTTGGAATATACAGAGACGTACACACAGGTCAGTTGTTGAAGTTGTACTATTAATTTTCTAATTTGTTTTTGATATTTAAACGTGATATAAGGCCCATTTGCCTGATGAGTTGCCAGGGATGGATGGCCCTTATTTCCTCTCTATTTCTGGTTATATACTCGATGACATACTGATAAGCCACTATCTTTATCTTTAACCACTGAGATGCTTTAAAAATCATCAGATTTGGGGCCCCCATATTATAATAATAATAATACGGCACGTATTGTTCGCCGGTTCTTGAATCTGAAACCCTGACCCCGGCCGACTGTGCGCGGAAATACCTCTCCTATTTAAAAATTCAAAATTAATCTTTTAGGCCTTAGAAGAGGCGAGAGTCTAAAATAGATACAATAATAATAATCCATTTATTTCAGACTTACATTCATCCATCATATTTGTTAGTAAAGAAAAATAGTTCAACTAGTGTTAGGTTTAAAAAACATAATAAAACCAGCCAATGTCAGAACAACTGGCTACGCGTTGGCAGCAACGTGCAAGCGCAACCACCGCCCCAGCATTGGGGACTCCAATCTTTCGCGTAGCGTAGAAATCGTCGACATGTTTCTCAGCAAACATGGTTGACGCGCTACAGAAAGGTGGAAGTCGGAACAGCATCCTGAACGCATTGTTGTACTGGACGCGCAGTGTTCCGTATGTCCGCCGCGTGTAACTGACCCACAGGCTGCACGTGTAAAAAGACTGGCAATATGCTTTAAAAAGCGTTACCTTTACTTCATCTGTACATATTAAATATTCTAGTCCTATTTATCTAGTATTTGCTCACATCTGCTGCCTGTAAACTTTTAGGCCTTCAATTCTTTCATGTATAAGTTATCATAGTGCAACTTCGATCGCAGCATGTCGTCCTCGTTTAGCTGTATGTGTAGAGGTGGGACCAACGCTCCTGCCACGTATCTGGATGAATAACAATTATACCGTAAGGCTTTGAAATAAAGGCGTTAATAAGACCGAAGTCAAAGTGAAATAATCTTTATTTCATAGGTAAGTTAAATTACGTTTGAAATTGTCATTTGATTAAACTCTACTGTTGACAGATTCCCCCGAGAAGAATGAGCAAGAAACTCTAAGGGTTGCTCTTTGTATATATGCATTTGAATACATTTATCATTACAATATTTAATTTAAACATCGAGAATACTGAAAGAGCTAAATGGGTCACTACCATGGATTTTTGTCATCCAAGTACGCAGAATTGATAACCTTTAATATAAAGTTTTTGTTTCACTGTAGTTTTAAACCTCGTAAACGGCAAATTTTGTATGTAGAAGCGTATACATTGCCCCATAAATGACTGAGACTTTATGAAGACGACTGTCAGAACAGCTAGCTTATTTTTATTCCTCATATTAATGTTATGTCTGTCACTACTCGGTACTTGGTGTAACGGGCTGGTGTCCGCAACTCGACGTCAAGGCGCCTATTTCGCCTATTATGTCTCTCACTATTGTTCATAAAAAAATAATATTTTCTTAAATGTACTGTGACGTTAGCGTAAGAATATTAATCTCTTTTAGACTTATCACTCACAGACAGAGATTAGTTGAAAACGAAATTACTTTTCTGGATCTTTTTTTAATTAAAATTTTACTGGATCTTTCGGCATACTGTGCCATTAGTGACATCTAGTGAGAGACTTTAGAATCTTCTTCACCGACTTTATACTGGAGTTTTGGCTCAGAATGCCGAAAAATCCTATACACAATAATCTCAGTCATCTAAATACTAAAAAAACCGACCTCAAAAGTCATTCATCCCCTAGTTTGCCATTAGGGGTGGAATATTTTCTTCAAATTTAAATGGGACCAATACTGAGGTACCCTTTTTCCAACAAAAAGGAATTATCAAAATCGGTTCACAAATTGCGGAGTTATCGTGTAACATTCATACAAAAAAACACAAACGAATTGAGAACCTCCTTTTTGAAGTCGGTTAAAAAAACAGCTTGTCACCTATTTGAAAAAACTCATCTCATTTTCATAATACTCTATTCTCACCACGTTCCCGTCTCGCTTTCGTCAAGTTCTCACTACACTTTCGTCGAGTTCTCACTACATTCTCACTGAGTTGTCGCCACAATCTATTATCGTTCTTATTATATTCACACTTAGGTCATAAATTACAACTCACCGTCCCTCTGCGTTGAGAAAGTTAAACGTTGAGCAAGCATGCTCCGTAGCCAAAATCTCCACGTTTAGTTTCGCTCTGCGCGCAGCCATGAAAACAGAGTCTTGTGCTTTGCGCTCGCGCGTCTCCAGGCCGATCACCTGTACATGTATCTTTGTTACATAGCGTCCATTAAAATTAAATGTATTTTTCTTAAGGGCAAAAAACGGAACAACACTTGTCATGTAGACTCACTCACTGATAGTTTATGGCAACACAGGGATGCCTTACTTTCTCGAATTCGTATCTTATAAAGAGTGTTATTCAGAGAAACTTTCTATTTATTTTAAATTTCTTATCAAGGGTGTTAATTTAGATGCATTACTTTAATAATAGGCAAAAGCCAGTGTGTGAATATGAAGGAAATGCGATGTGAAATCAACCTGAAAAATTTGTATGTATAATCCATTTTTTGCATTTTAGTAACTTCGTGCTTTACGATAAGAGTTTGAGAAAGTAAGGCGATTTTTAACTGCGAATTTTTAAGGCGAAGTTTTAACTCAAAAATTGTGAAATTCAAGATTGTTATTTCTGAACGTAAAATTTCCTTCTCGACATGTCATTAAAATTGTCATTAGAATATTGTAAGAAGCCATTTAAATATATCTTCTTAACCCAGATATAGACAAACGTTTTGTGAGCTAGTTCAGGACAAAACAGTCCTTTCTCAAAAATATAAAATTACTTTTCACTTATTTTTAAATATGCTTCTATTTGGCAAGTACGAAATTGTTCAGATATCTAATAAATTTTAACCTATACATAAATCATAATAATGTTTCACGGGAACTGAGTAATTAGTTTTTCAGCTATACTGAATAAATTCACATTTTGAGTTAATACACTATTGTATTAGCAGTGCGATATAACATAAATATTATATTTTAATGTTTTTTTTATTATATTATTTTTAAAAATCATTTTGTGATACTCTTTATAAGGTTCATTTCAATGGCAAGAACTTTATGGTTATAGCAGAGACAAAAGATCAGTACACCTGAAGTAAGAAACCTACCATTGATTTTATGATAGTATATTATTTTAACCTACCATTTATAACGTTCAGGGAATAAGTCTGCAGGCAGGGAGTCCCTCTACTTAGCCGTTCGCCATATAAATGTCCCCAGCCTACGTCTTTTTTTTTTATAACACTGAGTGACAGAACGAACAAGCCGTGCGCCTGATGGTAAACTACACGCGTCTCCATAACATTTGCAGTGCCACTCTATCTACGTATTCTATTGTATTCTATCCACGTCCTTTCAAAATCAGAACACAGTGATATTGGTATTACTGCTCGGCGGCAGAAATAGGTAAGGTGGCAGTACTTCCCCGGACAAACTATTTCACAAGCTCTGCTGCTAGTAATCGTCTACGGAGTGGAAAACAATTTTAGCGACTTTTAAACTTTCTGTCTAGAACATTCGCTATAGTCCAGATGACAAGAATGAGTCTTGCTCAGTGATCGCGATAATGTCACAGCAGTTTGTCAAGAAAGCAAATATGAATACGTACAAGCAAATCAATTTTTGGTTCCAAAAGCTTGAACAATCGTAAGGAATCTTCTGTTATCTGCTCAGAACCTCGTATCGCCCATGACAGTACCGATCTGAAACACACAAGTATTTTTTTATTTTATTTTAGGCTTAGAGCACACCCCGGACACTCCATACAACGGTTCAAAGTTATTTACCGAATACTACTACATACAGCAAGGCGCTATCTGCACACGTGCAAATGTGTGCGTGAAGTAGCAGGGTTACCCGTCACTTTCTCGTAAGTGGTCAGAGTGGCAACATTAATAACAATAATTACATTATGTTCATTAAACAGCCGTTCTAGCACAATTCACGACCATTATAATTAGTAACGTACAATGATGAATGAGTTTCGTAATGAATAAATGAAAACTATACTCAAATATCAAAGCTGTCTTACTTTTTTACGTGTACAAAAAAGTACGTGTTTACGTATTTTTTTGTTCTCTGCCTAGTGTCTACAATGCAGTGGCGAATTTTAGTATCATTACTTCGTCAGGTAGTATGCGCAGTGTAACAGTTACCTGGGAAAAATAGCCATTGGGCCAAGCACTGTGATGCCATTGTTGAGTCTGAATCCATACTGAAAAAAGCGTACAGAGTTACTGAGAGCGTTTGCGCAGTATGTCCTATTCGTATAAGTTTCTAATCCAAAAAATTATGATCCGAAAAGTCACAGGGAGCATTTTATCTCTAGTTGCACAAAAGCGATTTTCTCGGATTGGAATCGGACTTTATATTCGACGTTATATTCTCTTGGAGCCAGTACAAATACCAATCGAATGCAACGGGTCATGGTATATTATAATAAATACATTTTCAATCTAGGTATCACGAATAGTCCTCTATGCAGAGCGTGCAAGAAGGGTGAGGAAACGGCCGTACATGTTCTATGGGAGTAATATTTGTATGACCTATATTTATTTATATTGTGTATTTTGTGGTTGGTTATATGTGTGTCCATAGCTCCCGTGATACCAGGTTTTTCTAGTGCGGGCCTACAAGTATTATTATTAACTATGTATAATTTAGTATTTGCAAAACACTATATCAATAATAAAGGCCATTATTACAGAGATATTATAGAGACTATGATCCTCATGGATATTCAGTTCTTTTAAACTGAACTGGTGTGAAAAATGATATGTGTAATTTGTATTCATTCCAATAATTTGTCTGCGGAAATAAGGCATCAAAATGATACGTACGGTTGCATAAGAGTCTATCATCAGGCCAAGGTCTTGTTCCTGATTGATGATGCGGACAGTCATTTTGCCTTCACCCTCGTATGCTGCCTTGTGCCGCACTAAGCTGGAACATTTCAATTATTTATGCAAATCTAAAAACAGCATATCATTCCATCTGTCAGAAGGTGGAAACTACTGCCTATTATATATATTTGCTGGTTGTGGCAAATAAGATCTTAAGAGAGCTGGGTCTACAAATGCCCTGATTATATCTAAATTTAGCTGTTGCTGGTGGTAAGCAAACCTCACCTGTCACCCTGAGACATAAGTTGACAAGTCCCAAGTGCCTGTAATTTCACCAGCATACTTCAAAACCGGAATGCAGGAATGCTCACATTATTGTTTGGTGGCAGACATAGATTTGGTGGCAATACTTCCCTGGACAAACTCTTTCAAAAGGAGGATTTTAATCTAGAACACAGCAATGCAATAGCAGTAATACCTACCCAGGAGTCTGTACAGAGAACCCTACCACCAATAGAATACTAATGTCGGGTGACGATACTCTCAAACATGCTAATGAGCTAACAGGCAATGGCAATAACTTATAGAATTAGTCAAAACGAAGTAGTGTTTATAAGGCGATTCAATTTATTACCAAGTTCGTGGCGTGGTCTCTTAAAAAAATAATTCAAACAAAAATATTATGCAGTAAATATTAACCTCAAATATGGTGGAGTTTTTTTTACAACCAAATTCGCTTGCCGCACTATGTTCGAAAACATTTTCGTTGGTTTTGGTTTATTTAAAATTTTAATGCGCTGAGCAAATCGTCTAGATTTCTTGAAAACGAAGCAAGTTAGATTTTCATTTTCATATTTACGATAAACGTCAAATTCTTATTTTGTTCAACCGTGGTACCATCGGAATGTCCAACGTTCCAATTTAGCACCACAAACTTTAGCACTATGTTTCGTTTGTCAGTGTCGTTGATTTATATTTATTTATTTATAAAGCATTGGCTTCAGAGCCATCAGCTTAATGGTAGGTAACAAATAATCAAGAAACGCACGACGTAATTTACATAAACTAAAAATTCAATCGTGTAAAAAATAGACTAGACTTTTATTTTTTTCCATCCTCTATGGTCTTAGGCAACATACAAAGATTTGATATATTTCTGACATAAAAAGCGGCAAAAACATCACAAACCGTGCATTCCTATAACTGTTTCTTCAGGTAATGTTTTTATTTCTTGCGTATTAAGAAACGCAATTTACGTCATCGGGAGACGTCAAAATCATGCGTCAAAGGCAAATGCAGATGTGCAATGTGCGGCATTTTGAACTGCCGACCTTGTGGCCATCGATTTTCGCTTTATAACGCTTTAAAAATGTAGGACGTCGGTGTAACTCCTCCATTTTCATTAGCTTCCATCCTATTCTTCAGACTTCCTTTACTTTTAATTCAAACACCTTACACGAAACATAAAATGGAGTTCTCAAATTATAATTTATAGTTTTATGGTGGTTCTAATAATAATGGAGTGTGTTACGGTGTCTACAGAGCTTCTATGTGTGCAGAAGAAACAGAAGAAAATTTATAAAAGCGAATATGATGTGGATTTTTGGGGGGAAATGAAGAAACGTTGGCTGGTGTTCGGCGTGCTACTGGCCGTGCTTGCGGCTGTAGTGGCGCCAACATTCGGCGAGCGTGGAGGCAACTACATGCATGCTCACTATTAGATCATTCTAGAATGCATTGCACACATTTCTAAAATGTAATTAAGTTTTTTTTATTAAAATTTTCGCTTGTTGCAAGAAAATTAATTTACTACAGATTTTTCAAATTTCTTTTAACATTTACGTCCCACTGTTGGGTACGAGTCTCCTCTAGGCTGCACAATACGGGTGCCATCCTCGGATTATGTAATGTTATAGTATAGCATTGGAAAGTTTTGCCTGTTTTGAAATTCATTATGGAAATGGATACACATATACTTATTATCTAATTAGTCATGTTTTTTCACTTCAATTTAAAAGTTGTTTATTTAAAAACAAAATTTAAAAGATGTATTTATTAATTTCTTTACAAAAATATCTGAGTGATTAATATTTTAAATGATAGATCTCATGCGGCACCCATGTTCTAATAATATACATTTTTAAGCATGAAAATTTAAAGCACCATGTTTTGAACTATTTAAATTAAGAATTATATTTAAAAAAATCACAAGTTCAGATTAAACCAGATGTAGTTTTTGTTTATTTTTCTTTTAATCAATAATTACAAAATCTTTCTCTTTTAATTTATGGTTTAAAAAAAAATATTCTTGCAACTAGCTTTTACTACTGATTGGACTATTATATTATGAGATACAACTTCAAAATGAAACATCAAAATATTATCACATAGGTACATACATACATGTTCTGGTTTAGAGCAAAATTAAATGCCACATTACCAAGCACACTGTAAATTTAATAAATTTGTTTTAGTTGAAAAAAAAAAACAGTTTTCACTTTCATTCCTAGTACATTATGTAGAAATTCAAACACAAAGATATGTAATTGAAATTGTTAACTTGAACCTATGTACGATTTTGTGCCAATTGCAGTGGAGACTGGGGACTTGGGGTGATGAGGCCAAAGAATTCATCAGGGAGTTGGGTCGTCGGCTTAGAGATAGAGACTGTGATCTTACTTGATGCAACAAATTTTGTTGTCTATTCAGTGCAGTAATGCAGCCAGAGTTATGGGGACGTTTGAACCATCTAAGATTCAGAGCGGTCCTTTTTCATTGTACTTGTTGGATACAAATGGCCAAGTCTGGTGAATTGCATTATTAATTTCTATGTGACAAAGCCTGTTGATGATTTATCTTTGTGTCTTCCTGAAGAAGCCTATGTTGCGGATTGACATAATTGTGGAATTAATTTAGTTTTTAGATGAATATTTACTCAAAAATTCTATATATTGGAATTGTAGAGGATTTATCAGAAAATGTACGCTCTGCACAAAGGTTGACCCGAATACATAAAGCATTAGTTGTGATAATGGTAATCCTCCCTCGTAGTACTGTACCGTGCCATGGAAGGGAAAGAATTTATAAATAAAAAATAATAGTAAAAAAAAAGTAAATAATTTATTTGACATGCATAAATTTCAAACGAAACAACAAAAAATTCAAAAAAAGTAAAAAAGAAGCGTACAAAATAAATAATAAAAGCATGTCAAAATGGTCCATGACTCAGCCTCTGAGGACTATGCTGATAGCCCTTGCTGTCATTCTGCCAGTCATAATATGGAACACCACAATTCAAATAATAATATATATATTATGTTACATGTTACGTACAAAACAAAAATTAAAATTAAAATAACCGTAGACACTTAGGCACTAAGCAACTATTTGTCATAAGCAATAATTGGACGAAGTAAGTAATCAATTTGAATAAAAAATAAATAAAAGCATCATACCAAACATACACATTAAATAATAGTAGACAATTAAGCACTAAGTATAATTAATAAGTAATTATGTATGTTTGTTTTATTATTATTAATAGCGTCTATAGTCCCGTCTTTTTTAACCGACTTCAAAAAAGGAGGAGGTCCTCAATTCGACAGTATGTTTTTTTGTATGTATGTTACGCGATAACTCCGGTATTTGTGAACCGATTTTCATGATTCTTTTTTTGTTGGAAAGAGCTTACCTCCATAGTGGTCCCATTTCATTTTGAAGAAAATCATCCACCTCTAATGGTGGCTGATCACGTATGAACATTCATTTTTATAAATAGCGCCTAAATTTTACAGGAGCAATTATTTTAATGGTTGCTTTTGCTATTCTCCAATTCAAGGATACGTTTTACTCTCTCAATATACTTTAAGTAGCGAGAACCGATTTTTATTATCTCCTGTGTCAAGTCCTGTATAGTGGCGAACTAAACATCCCCATACTTCAATAAAACTTGGCAAATAGACGTAATTCCACATACTTTTGAGGTCGGTTTTTTTGGTACTCTGTACTGATTTGAAGACGGAGTAAAATGACAGTTCATTGCGCGAAAGTGGTGCCCGCTTGCAAGCAGCTAGCAGTCGATAAACATTCTACCGACTATCAACCTAATATTGGTCACGCTTACGGAATAAATAGCCGAACTTGTTTCCTTCGAATCATCCTCGACCCGTTTTGAATTATAATTTTTTATAAGTTCATACATACATACACTATATTTCGAAGTATGTTTATGAAAAATGCAGGAGACATATTTTAAAATTTTTCATTTTAGTTCATTATTAAAATGTGTATGAATAAAAATTTATCTCGTTACTCGCAGGCCTTCAAATAAGAATAAAGAAGGCAATAACGCAATCGTAATCATTAGACCGTCGTAATATTCACAATTCTATCGATAAAACTATCGACAACAACTATTTAAAATTTTATGAAAACTGGCAACCCTACAAATGTCATTTTCCTCCGTCTTCAAAAAAGACAGATTACACTTATAAAAGTTTTTGAAGTATTAGATTCCACAGGCACGGATTTCAGGTTACACATCATTGTAAAAACTAGGTCATTCAGTGGCTAGCATTCGGTACCCAGTTAGATAATATCTAATGTATCTAAAAATTATATCTATCTATCTTGTTATATTATAACAAGCTTTGTTTGAATATTATTTGCCGATTAAAAGAGAAGATTGGTATAGGACATGCCGTACCATCCAACTCTCGTGAAACTTGCGTTTGGACGTTTGCTTATTCAAACTTCGATGTCCCATGAGACCGCTGTTCAGTTTTCGGGCTGTAAATTTTATTATTATTATCAAGCCAAGACTTTCCATACCCACAGGGTTGTTCCACACCGAGTACACATCCTACCTACCCCTCTCGTACATCTACTACTTGTCCGGGTTGCGAGGCGTGCGTATGCCTAAAACGCGCAGCGTCGCGCTCGCGTTATTGCACGCCCACGTTGTCGCACCAGCAGTCGCTGTCGTCGTCTGTGCTGGCTTCCAGGGGTTGGATCATCGGATTGTAAGAGGGTATGTGCTGAGATTTCTGATCGGTGTCTGTGTGTGGCCACCAACATGGAAGCATGTTGGGTCATAACCTACGAAAACTGCAATTACTTTGTATAACGATTTTTTTTAAACTATCAACATGATGTCAATCATAGAGTTTTCTTAGAGTTGCTTTAAATTAACATAAGCACCTAAGTAACATCTACTAATTTATCCGTGGTGACTCTGTTACCTTTTTCTGGAGGATATTTAGCTGTGGGTCGCTGATTGAATGAATTGTGCCTTCAGACTACAGGGCGAGCTGAATGACATGCTCAGATGGCACTCTAATTACGTGTCAAGCAAACCCAGTTCCCGCCGAGGTACATGTAGTGCTTTTCTCAAACAATGCGAGGAAAAATATAATATGAAATGATGTAATAGGAAAAACATATTTAATGTTAAGAGTGAATATGTCACATTTGTGAAATATATCACAATGACGCCGATTTTCGTGGGCAGTTGGCAATATGACATTTTTTCCTATAGTCTATTTTGGTTCACTGTTACCGTTTAGATTTAAAAGGGTTCCTTCTAGTAGATTGCTTAAAGAAGACCTGTGATGGAAACGACATTCCCCGCCTCCAGTCATCTATACTAGAAAAGAAAGAAACTTGTGAAGCTGTTTACAGTTAAATAATTTCCACTTTTCATTTAAAAGATTGAAAACCTAAATGTAAAATGAAATCAAGATGAAAATTAGGCTGTGTTACTTTATATCAAAGTTGTTAAAACTATCAAAAAAAAAATGTGCGCGGACGGAAATGATGGAATTTAATTTTTTTATTGTTTCTGGTATTTCGCAGTTTGCGTTTGTGCCACTGCAAAACATTTTCATACATACACACTCTGTAACTAACAAACTTTGTGAGTTCTTCTTTTGTAAATAATGCAAATACTTCTGAACGTGTTTGAGAGAAATCTATTTCGTCAGTTTGCCTAAAAAGTTACTTTATAATAAGGTGCAATATGCTCTTATTATTAATATGGTATTCTTAAACAGCTCACTCCATTACAGAGCTCTGATGTCTAGTACAGGCGGTCCGTGCGGCTGGGTCTCTTTGTCTGTGTGCCGGTCTGCTCATGCGCCGGCACTCATTGCCGCCAGCTACGGCGCCGCGCTGCTCGCCGCGCCCCTCGCCATGATCATACTTGTATGTCCGTAGTTACTTACTACTGTCATATTATCGTGGACCTCGGTGACCTAACTGTTTATATTGTGGACGCTGCGTGCGGAGGCCCCGGGTTCGATTCCCGGTAGCAACAATTTGGGAAATGAATTTTTCTAAATTGGTTCTAGTTTGGGTATAGTACAGAGAATATTCCTAGTTGGTGTTGTCTGGCACATATTATATTATTACCAATAGTCGGAAAAAGGTGTTCCACATATAGCTACAAAGAGCGACATACAGTTGTTAAAACCATCAAAATATTAATTAATTACTTTTTCGAATTCCGGATATTCGGAAATGGTAGCATTGTAAAATTAAAGTTGGATTTTAAAGTAATTCTAATGATACCATGTACAAAAATGCAGTACATAAGTAGTAGTAGGTTGCACACCGGTTTTCATGGCGTCGTCATCTCTGAGATCCCGAGTTCAATTCCCGGCCGGGTTAATGTAGAAAACTAACGTTTCTGTATTGTCTCGGGTCTGGGTGTTTGTGGTACCGTCGTTGTTTCCAATTCCCGTAACACAAGTGCTTTAGCTAATTACTTTGGGATCAGAGCAACGTATGTTGCCTCTTTTTTTATTTATTTGTCGGTTGATAATTATATTTGAAATAGTGATTAATCAAGTTTATCTGAAAAGATTTAGTAAAAAGCTTTAATTATAATTTAACATCAAACCTGAAGTTAAAAAAGAGTGAGATAGACAGAGTGTATTATGGAGAATAATATTAAGTAGTTTTGAGCGTTAAGAAGTGAATTATTCTTTCTAGTGTGGCCGCGCCACGGTACCACCATTGGGAGGAATCCTATCTACGCTATTGACAACACTTACACCGTTCATGCTAGGCACTTTAATGCGGACCACAGAGATCGCTATTAACTCTGAAACAACGACAAAGTCGCCAATAGCAAGATCGAGCGATTGCACAACAAAGTCAACAAAACTGTGGAGGGAGTTAACAACAAAGTATCGGGTGTCGACGATAAAGTGGCGGGAGGTAACAACAAAGTGTTGTATGTTGTTGTTGTTGTACTGCGAGTGTTGTGCGCGGCTGCGCGACGCCGCGGGTGTGCTTTATGTCGGTGATGTGTTGGCCACGCTTGCGCTTGGTGAGTTGTTTTTATTTTTTGTTATGTACTTATATGTGGTTAATTTTATTTTGATTTTGCAAAGTCTACAATAGTTTTATTAGTGTGTAAATACTTTATATGGAGCAATGCATGCTTAGGTTAGTCATGGGTTTCTTCTAGCTACTTGAGAAATTCTGCACATTGAAGAAATTCAACTACAAAATTGGAAGTCTTTGATCTGAATTTCTTCCCGCGTCACAAACACGTTTCTTCTTTCTCCAATCTTTAGATTTGTGGAGGTGGTGGACACATGTCTTTTTGTTTTCTTTTTGTTATGATATATAACATAACATAACAGTTGCAGTGCCACTCAGAGTTTTAAATCACAGAGATCAGAGGAACAATACCACAGCGCCCGTCACTCTGAGACATAAGTTGACAACTCCCATGTGCCTGTAATTTCGTCAGCTCCCTACTCTGCAAATCTGGAACGCAGTAATGTTCTCATTACTGCTTGGCGACAGAAATAGGTCAGAAGGCAGTACTTCCCTCGACGAATTCTTTCACAAGGAGCTCTAATTCTACTGAAAATATATTATCTGCTAAGAGATGTGTACCATTCTGACGCATTGCTTCCCTTATTCTGTTACCACATAAGTACCAAAGTTGCAGCCTCTCCAGTTCCAAGAGTTTTGTTTGGAGGAAGTCTCTTATTATATTCGCCCTTACTTTTGTGAAAACCTTTTGTTTATAATAAGAATATAACCAGTTTTTAAGACCATTGGTTGAAAAGAACAGACAAGCTGCGGGTAGCTGCAGACAAACCAATGTCTCGGGTAAAGTTATCTTGGCGTGACTATTGAAGATATGGAACTTGTTGTGGAAGTAGCAGAAGTAGAACTATGGAAGTCCTTGAAGACAAAAGTTTTCGAGCAGTGCGTGATGCCAGCGATGACCTACGGCTCTGAGACGTGGTCTCTTACTAAGGGTCTCATAAAAAAGCTCAAAATCACTCAACGAGGCAAGGAGCGAGCAATGCTCGGTATTTCTCTACGTGATCGAATCCGAAATGAGGAGATCCGTAGAAGAACGAAAGTCGCCGACATAACCCAAAGGATTAGCAAGTTGAAGTGGCAGTGGGCAGGGCACATAGCTCGTAGAACTGACGGCCGTTGGCCGACGACCCCCTACTACGGACGGATGACCTGGTAAGGGCGGGGGGTAACCGATGGACACACGTTGCGTCCGACCGGCGAGTCTGGCAATCTTCGGAGGAGGCCTCTGTTCAGCTGTAGACGTCTTTCGGCTGATATGAGATGATGTCAAATAATTATTTGTATGTAAACTGATTTGAGTGTTTTTGTATTTGTACCAATAAACGTGTGTCTATGGGTCGTATTCTAGAACTCTACTTAATGCTCAAGTCAGGATTGCAATTGAAACACAAGCACTGGAAATACGACCCTAATGGCAGGGACTTGAGTGTGAAATGAAAAGAATGAAAAGAAATCGGTCGACAACCGAGTTATTGTAAGGTTCTGAATCGACCGCCTGAAGACATAGGTTTCATTTTAAATGTATATAGTAATTTCGATTCTACGAGCTTATTAACTAGAATTAGATTCAATTATGTATTTGGTCAGCACAGTTGTGTGCATGGTGTCCGCGAACGCGCTGTCCTGCTTGGCGGCGGCTCGAGGTGCAGGCGGTGCCGGAATGCGCTGGGCCGCCCTTGCGGCTTGCTCCATCCCAAAGTGCTTTGACGCTGGTGAGTAACCAATTTTTTAACAATGCTATTGAAATAAAAAGAAATTACTGTAATTTGTAAAAATCGAAACGAGGGAAAATCTTAAGGTGTTATGTTGGGTGAATACTGTGGATTAGGTAACACATCCCAACATAAAAACGCTTATTACACTAACCGATTTCAAGGACCCTGTGTCAAGGGGAAGGGTAGTCCCCAGTAAGGAAGCGTTTCCACCAGTGGGATTACTTCATTTTCCCAGCTTCGCTTAGCGCAGCTCTGGTGGAAAAGGACTTGCAAGGGATGCGAGCGAGGAATGTGAAACATCTGAAACGAGCCCGCTACTTATCCTAGCAGCTATCAGCTACACATCGTATCACAGCTTCTCTAACGCAACCTCGTACCGCCTTCCTACCTCGCACAGCTTTGATGGAAACCATCACATCGTTTCATAGCTCCGCTATACATCTTCGCACCTCCTAGCTACCTCGTCTCTGGTGGAACCACAGCCTTAGGGCGCCGCTTTTATTAACTTATATAATATTACGCCGAAATTAGGTACGCTAAATTCCTAACTGAATATATGATAAAATTACCTACGTCTCCCTAAGTTACTGTCCCTTGAAATAGTTTCTAATGACTTCTAAAGATTCGTGTTGACATTACTGCATGCCGTCGCATAGTACTATTAGCGTTTATTTGTTTTTGTATTGTGTAACTAACACTTAGACTTAAGCGATTTGCTATTTACTAACAACCCGGTTCCGAAATAATGTTTATTATTATATTGCCATAAACAAATACTATATTTCTACGACTCACCAGTTTTTAGGCGATTTTCATGAATTATAAACTTAAAACTTTCCCGCCTATTTTTTAAATGCTCGCTAAACGGTTATTTTATATAAACCATGGACAATATAACATTTTGGAAGAAGAAAAGTTTTTTCTTTAGCTAGCGGCAAAAACCTTAGGGCGCGTTCCCATTATGTCATAACGTTAGACAACTGTCGCGTCTAGCCTGTTCCCATATCACGACTATCTGTCGCGACTGTGTCGTGGTTGTTTATTTTGTCATTGAACGACTGTCGTGTCTAGCAGTTTCCACTAGATCGTGACGACTATTTATCGGTTCACGACAGAATCGTTTGAAGCTACGATTAGTCGTTATATTTTTATCGTGACGTTTTAGTTATCGTCAGACGACTGTCGTTCTAGTTCTTCCCATTATCACGACAGTCTGTGGTCGTAACGTCGAAAAAGTCTATAACGACAGTTAACTGTGTTTTACTTCCAGTCACGACACTTTAAACTGCGCTTTTATCTGTCGTTACGACATAACGGGAACGTCTTACTAACCCATTAGTGTGAATGGGTAATAAATATATAACGTACACAAATAATGTAAATAAATAACGTACTACCCCTATAGGTTGGGAGTCATCAACCACGTGCACCCCGTCAGGTCTGTCCCGCCTCCCCGCGGTTTTCCTCCCTCCCGCGCAGGCCTTACTCCTTGCAGCAATTTACACTCAAGATGTTTGTGATGAAGATCGTGAAGATGATGATACGATGATGACAGTACAGAGCTTGCCGCAGTGATGAACACGCCAATGTTGTGGAGGAATGTATACGGTTGATTTATTTTGTGTGTAATTGGTTGATCGCAATAGACCAATAACACAAGAGGAATGCTAATCTCCGTACTACAGATTGTCACTCTGAAAAAGGTCAAAATCCCGTCTTATATCCAGATGGCGCTTATCAATAACCTGGAAGTAGTTTATATTACGTAAATGGCCGTGGATATAAATTAATTCCTTTTTAATATGAAATATAAGTGGTCAGTTTTTTCCTTGTAATATTGTTCAAATTTAATAAGCTAAAATTATTTTCTGAAATTTGACAAATATGCATGTCAATAGGTGGCATTGTTTATTGTAAACTAATTTATAAATTAACGCTTTCTACGCCTATATGGGTAGATGGCTCTAATGCTAAAGAAAATAACGGATTTTTTTATAATATCAAGTGACGGGACGAACTAGTCGTGCGCCTGATGGTAAGCTACACGCCTATCCATAACAGTTGCAGTGTCACTCGGAACTTTAAATCGCAAAGATAAGTTGACAAGTCTCATGTGCCTGTAATTTAACAGTGGCAGTAAATAAAAATGGAAGTAAAGCGAGCAGTCCGTTAGTCAGCAGCCCCTGAGGATGCCTCGTGAAGAGACGAAACACGTGTCGGGTATATTTTTGGTGGTGGCTTGTGACTGTAGTTGCGCTTGTGTTATTAATTTTATGCGGAGGGCGGGATAATAAACTGCATGGACAAATATTCAACACAAGCGCAGTTATTTTGCACGATTTAACCTTCACTGGGTTCGCGAAGTAGCAAATTAATTTACTTCCATTTTTATTAACATGGACTTCCGCAAAGTAACGCCTGAATCTATTAATAATCCTTAAGGTGGCAGTACTTCCCTGAACGAAGGAGCTCTAATGCTGCTATAATAGCCGGCAATATTCATAAAAGCTGCAATAAGCGCCATCTAGTCGATTTATTTATTAAAAAGAAATTATTGTAATATTATTAGAAATTAGAGTCGCTTTGCTACAAATTAGTTACAAAAATAGCTATTTTTGTACTAAGTACCCGACTACGCAGTCTTGTATCGCCATTAGCAGTTCTCTTGAGTCCATGCAATGAATTAGAATATATATTATTGATTATCACACTTTTCAGTTTCTAAGTAAATAACGCAATTTTGTATGTTGAATAAGCTCATTCTTTATATACTTTTAAACTTTCGCGTTGCATTGTACTAACATTTGGACATTTATTCCCGTTTCCAAATGTAAGCTCATTCTTTATTTTCTTTTCTCTGCTGTTATTATTTCTTTCTAAAATGGGCATTCCGTAAGGGAGTGAGGACTGATGTAGGATAAAACGCTTCTCCAAATTCACCAATTATCATTTTTTGAAAACGAAAATTCATAATTATAAGAAAATAAAAGAATTTGAGAGAATGTTTCCCATGAGATTGTTAATGTGATATGTGATAAGTTATTGTGTTCTATCCATTGACTTACAAATAAATGAACGACGGGTGTAATACAAAAACCACGAAAAAAATGTCCCAAGTCAACCTATTTAAACGTGACATTTAAAGGAATATGAAAAAGCTAAAACGTTGAATTTAAATTGTAATGTCATCGCAGTACTGTCTAATTTTGCTTGCTTCGCTGTCAGTCGAACAAACGAAGACTAAACCGTGAATGACGCTCTGTATACGATTTTAACGCCCTATAAGTTCGGACACTTTTTAGCGCGGACCCGACGTCCATATAATTGTAAGTCAATGGTTCTATCGTTATTATTTAACTCAATCAAGTATATAACTTTTGACCATTTGTATAGTCCTTCTTTAGAATAATCATTATACCTACTTGTATATTCATACATGTATAATTGAAAACATGCGGGCACAAAAAATTTTAAATTGTAATTAAGAAAAGTTTAGGCACACTCGTCGACGCAACTTTACACTAATGTTTCCATTTTCAACTTTATGCCATAGTTGATAAGACGGTCTAAAGTGTAAAAGTCAAGTTTGTCGGTCGTGATAATCGTGTTGATAGGAATAAGGGTTTTCCTTTGTGTTTAACTCTTAATTTGCGGTTACCGCGGATCCGAGACAGGCCTGTTTCCGGTTCTTATGGACGGCCAATTAACTTCCGCAAGTTAAAAGTTAAAGTCGGATTTACATTTGTCTGAAGTGTTGTGTCGCGTCAGACCTGTACCACTTTCATACATTTAATATGGTTAGATTTATATTAGTCTCGCATTCTGACGTGACGGCTTGTGCTGTGTGTATAAAACCGATAACGTTCTGACGCTTCACGACACGACACGTCAGACAAATGTAAATCCGGCTTAATATTGTGGCGTGTTTACACCGAGTCCACTGTCGCCTTAGCCGAAATCCCAAATTCATAATAAATACGCAACAAAATTTGCAGTTACAACTTTTTAAAGCGTTTTCCATTTCTCCGTACGAGTCGAGGCTGTGGGTCGGATATATTTAATAGGTTTTTAATATTATGTCTTTTCTACACTAGGTTAACTGCCGCTTTCGGCAGACGACTTCGCTTTGCCGAAGGCTGTAGTTGACTCGCCGTTTACACTTCGTACGACAAACAACTAGTGGGCCTGGTGGTGAGCGACACGCTTGTCCATAACAGTTGCAGTGCCATTCAGAACTTTAAATCGCAATGACCCACCCTGAGACATAAGTTGACAAGTCCCATACGCCAGTAACTTCACCTGCAACTCTTCAAAACAGGAACGCAGTAATGCTCACATTATTTCTTGGGGCAGAAATAGATAAGGTGACAGTACTTCTCTGGACGAACTCTTTCACAAGGAGCTCTACTGCTACTAGACTTCTTCGACAAGCAAATTCTGTTGACGTAAGCTACTGAGTATATCCGATTCACACACTCGACGAGTAGTTGTTGCTGCAGTTGACCCGCTGTTTACAGCAAGTCGAATGTCGCTTTAGACAAAATTATTATAAGTACAAGTTTACGCACAGAGATGCAATAAATGGCAAGACGCGGTCGCCGACACGTTGAAACTTGTTTGATCGACAGTTCCTTGCCAAAAGTTGCTTGCCGATACGCCCGACAGGATTACACCTAGCCGACTTCGATAGCGAACTACGATCGACTCAGTGTTAACACTAGCTAGGTTCTCGCCTTCTGCGGGCAAATGAAAGCGACCTGTCGACCTAGTGTAAATGCGCCATTATAATAAGTCAAAAACAACAAAGTGTTGTTGTTATTGGAGTACCAACAACAAAGTGAAACAACAGGTTGTGAACCAGTTGGAACGATGTGATTTATTGTTTATTATTAATCATTCTTGTTGTAGCTAGTGAATATATTAATAAAATTGAAGTAGTTATTAGAAGATGTGGAAGATATACCGTGAGGTTCTCATCCAGGAATGCATAACTCTAAGGTTGATGTAAACAGTTGTAGTAGTCTAATAAAGTGTTACAAAAAGTCCTATGAAGTGTTCAGAGTATCACCAGTTGTTAGATTGTTAATTTTGGTTCAAACTCCTGGAGATATAGAGTCGATTTTTGATTGCATCAATTTAATCAATTTTTCACGTACTACTTAATGGCACGTCACCTTTTAAACAACTCTTACGTTGTACTTTTTGTGAGTTGTATAATTTTCACGGTGTCGCCATCTATGACGTCCCGGGTTCGATCGTCAGTCGGGTCAATGTAAAAAAACGGATTTTTCTATATTGTCTCGGGTCTGGAATCAAAGCAATGTATTTGATGTTGTATAATATTTATTTATTATTAACGTATTCATTTTTATGTCATTATCTCAAGATTATCATTTGGAAATTCTCAAAGTTCCAAGTTAGTTCTGTACTTTCAATTTCTGAGTGTTCAGCAATTGCTCCAACTGCCTCTGTGGCCGAACGGTTACCATGCTGGTCTGCCACGAAGAGGTCTCGGGTTCGATAACCGGGCCGGGAGAAATATTTCTAAGGCCTACATTTATTTCTGTCGCGAGTTTGGGTGTAATTTGTGGCTGTCTACGTGTGTATTCATGGCACCTGCGATACAGGGTTTCTAGTGCGGGGTTAGTGTTATTATTGTTATTAACTCCAAAACATAACTCTTAAGTCTTTAAAAGACACTTGAAAGTGTTCTAAATAAAAATATTTTTTTTTAACTTTTTTATGTTATTTTCTGTATTTGAGGAGTCGGTGGCCCAACGTCTTGCATTGTAGTCGTTGGATCTTTGTCCGGGCCCCACCTAAGGTAGGAATATTTTAGAAATTGAACTTTTCTAAATAAATAAAATAGGCTTTATATGACATACAAAATACATACATTACAAACATTAAACAAAAAGAAAAATAAAAAGCAAATAAAAATAAAAAAGCATGTCAAAAGTATCCACGACTCAGCGTCAGAGGACTATGGAAATTAGTCCTCGCTGATAATATGCAATGGTTCGTCATGGAATAGAACACCACAATCAAAATATAAATATTCTTATTATAACTGTTTTATTAAAAAAAAAATCGACTTCAAAGCTTGCCAATTTTTATTGAAATCGGTTAAAGGAAAGTGCGCGAAACCGTATTCATCCCCTAATTTGCCACCCTTAGAGAGGTATTTTCTTCAAATTTAAATGGGGTCAACTTTCCAACAAAATAAGAATGATCAAAGTCGGTTCACAAATAATAATCGCGTAACATTAAAAAAAATAGATTTAAAAACTTTTTTATAATATCAAGTTACGGGACGAACATGTCGTGCGCCTGATGATAAGTGACACGCCTGTCCATAACATCAGAGTTTTAAATCGCATGTGCCTGTAATTTCACCAGCACTCTTCAAAACTGGAACGCAGTAATTGTGACATTACTGCTTGGCGGCAGAAATAGGTAAGCTGGCAGTACTTCCCTAGATGAACTCTTTCACAAGGAGCCCTATTGCTACTTAAGCTTTTTTGAAGTCGGTTAAAAATTAATTGGTTCTGGTCTGTATGTTCGGGGTGACCCAGAATTACCACAGAGATCAGGTGGGTGGTTGATTTATTTTTGTAGTGTTTTGTATTGGACAGTTTGTAACACTTCGTAGGTAGTATTTATTTCCTTAAGAGACCAGTGTTTAGAAATTCGAAGAGGCCTTTCATTGTAGTCACAATTTGAGCTCAATCATTAGGAGATATGGTCCAAGTTTGTTAGATTAGATTATATAGATGTAGATAGATTGATTAGATAGAATTTGAAATCAGCTCTACGTATGTACAAAATATATAAAATTATAAACAGGGCGTTACACGGCTATGTCCATCGAGTATGTAACCAGAAATAGAGAAGAAATATCATTTAATTTGTTTGAAAATTATTCTGCCAAATCATTACGGTGACATCTGCGCTTCGATTGGCCAGCCCGAATTCAACCACTTGAGCTTTGCTATAATGGACTAAAATTGCAAAATACATATTTAATTACTGATGAAATGTGATTCCGATTGTTTTGCTATTTTTCCACACCACCGAATGGAATAGCCCCCCATAGTTAGAGATATTATCTTTATTACAATAAATACAGAATATTTTTGGAATATACGGAGACGTACACACAGGTCAGTTGTTGACGCTGTACTATTTCAGTTTTCGAATTTGTGATTTCAGCGCAAACGAGAGTTGACGTTTCAAAGTGACATAAGGCCCATTTGCCTGATGAGTTGCCAGGGATGGATGGCCCTTATTTCGTCTCTATTTCTGGTTTATGAACCAGGAATCGAACCCGCCATATGTGAAAAATAAAACAGCTGTAATTTTTTAATCATAAAGGATTGTTTTCTTTTATACAACATAGTCTTAAATAAAAGGAAGACCATTAAATTTAACATATATTTTGAAATTTCGTTCAGGAAAATGAACCTGTAAAATATTTAGTTTACAGGAACCGATATTGGGACATTTCTGTACACACAGGAGTTACAAAGTAAATATTATTTTAGATATTCACCATGAAAAGATAAATAAATCAACA